ACTACACCAACGAAAGGTAGGTCGTTAACCTACTTTACTTTCGGTCGACTACTTTACCTTACCAACTACGTCACAACCAAACGAACGACACTACTTACTTCCTACTACCCCTCCCTCCTCTCTCTCTCTATCTCTCTCTCTATTCTCTCTCTCTCTCTATCTCTCTCTCTCTTTCTCTCTCTCTCTCTCACGCACACATATACTAACTTGGAGACATGAACACATCGACCCATGTACCCCCAATGGATTGTGCATGCAGAACTCTCTCTCTCTCTCTCTGTCTCTCTCTGTCTCCCCAGCCTATGATCCACCCCTCCACCCTGTACAACTACAACATTTTCCTGAACTCCTGCGTCTCCTTTTTTTCCATATCTCTCTACGGATGCATTAGTAGCATGTTCAAATGTCTTCTTGTGTCTGTCTGTCTCATTGACGAACTGACACCCACACACCCATACTCCATTCAATCTATAGGTAGAATATGTCTATGTCAATGGAGGAGGGGCTTTGATGTCAGTTCCTTCTCCCAATGGCCAAAGCTAAGAATTTGAATAGCTAAACTTATCAATGCTTAAATTTCCAGCATTTGTTGATGCCAATGCTTTTGGCTTTGGATCCCTGCTTAGGAGTGGTTCCAATAGAAATTCTTATGATTTATATTTTATGTTATCCTCCATCCTCTGAACAAGGGGTCAAAGATGCTGAATTTCAGTTTCTCCAATGGAAGTTTCTAAAAGAAGATGCTTTGTTAGTCTTCAAAAATGGTGAAATGGTATAAGGGCTTCTCAGCATGAGTCTAATAGCTACTAATTAACTGACCAAACTAGATACCTGCACAGTGGTCCATGCACCTATAGAATAGAAACCTAAAACCTAAAATGGGAAGCTTTGATGAGATCTGAAGAGGTTAGGCTTTAGAAATTTAAGCTACAAAAACTAGTTCTAGGAATTCCTAAAAATGTATTAGAAAACATGTTATTAGATCTTTCCAACTTGCTAAATTCATACTGTGCTGATATAAACTGCATTCATTATAAGAAAGAAAAAATCCATCATTCCCTACTTTAAAGTTGATTAAGTTAAATTAAGTTAGGGCTAATTTGACGCAAGTAAAAAGAAAATGTACCAAGATTGAATTTAGTATAACATTGTGAGATGGATTCCTGTAGGTGGCAGAACATTCACTCTCAGGCCTGATAGCCTCAAAGAAGGGAGGTGTGCCTAGTAGTCGCTCAAGGAAAGAGGAATCACAGGTCCAAGTCGAATTGCGTGTTGAGCGTACTCAGATTAAAAACTAAGGATACTGCATGTTGAGCGTACTCAGATTAAAAACTAAGGATGTGGCTCTCGCTCATGATATCGATGAAGTACATCTATGGCTCAGCCAAAAAAGCTCTCGCTACCACTCAAACAGAAGCTCCTCTTGCTCTCCAATTCCTAGGTGAACTTTTCCATATCCGTCTTGGGGTTGATGCCTATTCAAAACTCAAAACTCAAGCTCCTAAGTTCTGAAACCTTCCAAACCTTCTGACAGGATCCTCCCACCTAGCATCATGTGAGAAAGTGGCTTGCATTAGGCCTAGTTAAAAACTCAAGCTACTCAGCTACAAGGTCAGGAAGCCACGGAAGGAAGGCGAGCAAGCCGGTATGGAAAACCTAGCACAACGTTTATGCAAAGTTCTTGGAATCTCATGTACCTTTCCTTAGGACTCCTTATAAAAGGAACTGCCAAAGTCTCTAGTATTTTCTCAGATTTTTTTCCTGTTATTTTGAAGGTGAGTTAAAAAGCCATAAGATCAGCCTAAACTTGGCAAGATTGTATAGGAAATTCTGTCAAAATTGTTGGCAAGATTGGAAGATTAAACCTGGCAAGATTGTTGGCAAGATTGGAAGGTTAACTTGTATTATCTTCAAACAAGCATGATGGTATATACAGTGTTAACACTGAAGGAAACTCACCATTTATATACGCAAAGGAATCAGCAAGAAAGGAAAAGGAGGGTTGAAAGTGCAGACAAGCAGGGCCAACTCCTGGAGTTGTTGGTGGGCGAACAACAGTGAGGCTACGTGATGAGAAATTGCTCAACCACAAAAGCCAAATTTGAGCTGCCATCCCCCCCCCCCCCCCCCCCCTTCGCCTCCCCCACCTAAAAGAAAAAAAACAAAGAAGAAACGTTAAAAGCCAACAGCTTTCCCATAACAAATCTGGAGATTTCCTAAGCATCCTGCAACTCCATAGACACCCACACAACTTCCTAGGCAAGTTATGACTCCTATGAACTCTCAACACAACACAACTTTCAACCTATTTAATTCTTAAAACATTTTCCATGTTTCACACTCATCTATGCATTAACTCTTTTTCGGCCTCATTCTGAAAAAAAAACTCTCTTTCGGCTTCTCTTCATAAGTAAATTGCATAAAAACTAGTATTCCATGCTGGAAATTATAGGCCCCATGCTGAGATGGACTTGTGGGGCCCATCAACTGCCCACGCCTAATTTGTCCATGCTGTACCTTTATCACTAGGCTTGTGAATACTCATTATTTTTTTAAAACCCACCAATTTGAATCGAGAATCGGCCAGGACCGAACTGGTTTTGAGAAGATATTGGTGCCAGCTTAACTTATCTAATGTTTTCTTAGGTCCCCTCAACCCCCACCCCCTCCCCCTCCCCCTCCCCCTCCCCCCTCCCAAAAAAAAAAAGGAAAAAAACCCTTCTCTTTCTTTCGATAAATTTTTTCTGATCACTGATTTGGACCGATCCAGATCCGCGATCCGGCAATCCCACACAGATTTATGGGCTGGACTATCCAACCCACCAATCCAGGTCTCGAAAATGTTAGATCTCGTGATTGGATCTCAACCATTGTCCTGAATGACTCCTAGATTAGAGTCACGTACTAGCGTAGTGCATGTAACATGACCTTACTGTGAAACAGAACCTTATGTTGTAATATGACATTCCCAAACTAGATTGAATCTAATGTCCTTTGATAATGCTGAAGCACCCCTTATTTAGTTCAAAACTTGGCCATCTCTCTTTATAAATATTTTTAAATGCTTTTGTGGTGTTACATGAGAAGCTTAATCCTAAACGGCATTAAACTTTTATGTTCTTTAGCCAGCTTGGAACATTAACTATATTCATGAATGGAGATTATATTGAAAAGGTGAAAAAATGTGGTTTTAGTTTCGTGGGAGAAGAAATTCCCATTTTTCAAGTAAGTGGGGAAGATAAATGGGACCTATTCACTAAAAAAGGTATACATGTGACCTATTCATGAGTAGCCGGATAGCATCAAAGAGTTATCATGAATCAATTGTAGATAAGGGGTATTGATAAATTGTGTGGTACTTCCAGATTGGCCCTTAAGATAGATACTTAGAACTCATTTCTTCCTCTCCTTGGACATATATAATGGGGTAAATGAGTTATCAGTTTCAAAAGGTCTTTGAAGAGTCATTCCAGCTTGAGACAAGCTTCTTTTGGAGCAATAAATTGGAAAGTTCCATAAGAATCTAGTTTACTCTTAAGGATATCCAAATCTGTTACGCTAAGTTAACAAACCTTTGGGATATTGGAGTGCTTAACTATAAAGGTCATTCTGATGAGCAGACACATTACCAATAAATGGAAGTTATTTATGCCAGCTATGGACCACACATGGTCTCCTTTTCAATTGTGGCAAACTGAATAAGAACCTTTTATTTCAGATCCGGTATATACAGATCAAGGGGAGTGGTTCAACACGGTTTGGAATTGATCTGGCTTTTTAAAACTGAAATTTGTATGAACGAGGGAGGCTATAGATTCAAACTCAAAACGCTTGCCTTCTTTTTGGTCTATAGGTTTTGGCCTGGTGGCAGAGATCCTGTTTGTAAGCAGGAGGTCAAAGGTGATCTTTGAAGTTTGTGTACGAGGTTGACTTACCACTTTTTTGTATGACTAACTGTATGCACTGTTCATGTTACTTGTATCATACTTGTATCATAGTATATGTCTGTATTTATTTTATGTATACTTAGAAAGGAAATGAAATTAATAGAGCTTTTCTTGAAGACATAGCTACATTCTATTTTATTGTCCTTTAAGAATGATCTTGATAAACATATCTTAGAATATATTTGTCTTTAGACTCAAAAACAATTTGGAATGCTGATATCTCGCATCTCAAGGATAATAAAGTAATAAAGGCCCTGTTTGGATGTACCCATTTTAGCCATAGCGATAGAATTGCCTGGTTCCTGTGTCTGAGTGTGTGGTCTGCCAAGCTGGCATGTGTGAACCCATGTCTTGTGTGAAACCATGTCTTGTTCACGACGCAACCTAAGCAATGAACCCTTGCTTGTTCTTAAAATTTTGCCAATAGGCCCCATTTGGCCTTAGGGTAAAAGACAAAAAATCTCTTGTCTCACTTTCATCAAATATGTGGATATGGTTCCACTTGATTATGACTGCTGAAGAGCATCTATTTTCGTGTAAAAACAACTAAAGATAAAGCTTGGATATCACTACAGAATGATTGAATATAAGAGTTCCACAAATACTCAGCTATGCTCACGCATAACTTGATTGATAACATGTAGCACTTAAAATCGTAATTTCTGATATACGTCTTTTTTAGGAATTTCCATAAACTCATTCTCTTAATTTTTTTTGTCTCTTCTTGCTTGAGGTATCTAGTTTTCATCATTGTGCGGGCAAAGTGGCGAACAAATTGGATTTATGTGCCATGGTGCTTTAGGTGTATGAATGCTAAAATTTTAAGTGTGGATGAATCTCTTTGATCAAGGTATCCGTGGCATCTAGATGTACTTGAACGCCGGCGGGAAAAAGTATATATGAATCCTGAAAGGAAAAAGTCTATATAGAGCCAAGGCTCTAAAAAATCAAATTAGAGCGCACCTCAAAAATTTCACTAGAAGAGTTTCTTTTGATGCCCAAATATCCTCAAATTGATCATCTCGACATCAAGATGCATGGACATAAGAAAAACTGAATTTCAAGTTTTGGAGATAGTGCATCTTGTAATGCATTTTTGGACCGTCAATTTTCAAGATTTTCATAGATCTGCTTGATTTATACTATTTTTTAAGCTTGAAATTTTATAACTAGAGATGAAAATAAATTTTAAGGCTATCACAAAGATTTTCAGTATTGAAACCACATTTCTCAACACTATTTGAAGGTGGGATTTACTTTGATTGTTTAGAGCCTCGGCTTTATACAAACCGCACCCTATAATTATGAACTCATATGATTAATACAACACTTCATTGTTCCGCCCTATAATCAATAGAATTTCCCGTAGGTGTTCAAGCACATCTAGAGGCCACGGAGATGCCTTTATCATAGAGATTCATCTCTCCTTCTGGGTCATCACTCCTAAGCAAGGGGCCTTTGTTAAAGACATGTAAATTCGGCGCCTTGGTGGCAAACAAATGTATTCACTCCAGGTCTCTTTCCACGATCCTGAGGGTAGCAGTTAAAGTCGACAGGGAGAAGGCTTACGACCATGTCGACTGCAATCTCTTGGATGAAACCCTTCTTAGGATGGGGTTCGGTAACCATTGGAGGAATTGGATTAGAGATTGCATCTCCAACCCCTACTTTTCTGGCCTCATCAATGGATCCCGTAAGGGCTTTTTCCCTTCTTCAAGAGGCCTTCGGCAAGGGGATCCCCTCTCCCCCTTCCTGTTCTTAGTGGTGGCAGAAGTGTTTAGTAGGTCCGTAGAGAGATTGCACCTTTGCAGCCTCCTAGAAGGGTTCGAGAAGGCAAAGAGGTGGCCCAACCATGTCTGACCTTCTGTACGTCGACGATACCCTCTTATTTTGCAAAACCAATTCCCAACAAGTGGATTCTCTTTTGCTGTTCCTCAAGTATTTTGAATGGGCCACTGGCTTTAGGGTCACTTTGGCCAAGTCCAAGATGATAGTTGTTGCTGCCGAGGGTTCTCTGATCTCTTCCTTTGCGGACCGTTGGGGCTGCCAAGTAGAACTTACCATCTACCTACCTTGGCCTGTCTCTCTGTCCTGGACTCCCTAAAAAACAACTGTGGAGTCATTTAGTGGAAAACTTCGATAGAAAGCTGGCCAGATGGAAAGGCAGATTCCTATTTCCAGCAGGTAGACAAACGCTCATTAAGGCCACCCTATCTAACATACCCATCTATTAGATGTCCCTCTTTCTCATTCGTGCCTATATAGCCAACTGCCTCGAGCAGTTCATGAGGAATTTCTTGTGGTCAGGCTAGGGTGAACGTAACAAATTCCAGCTCGTCTCTTGGGATAGGGCGGGTCAACCAAGACACTGGGAAGGCCTGGGTATCCATAATCTCAGAACCAACAACCTGGCTTTGCTGGGTAAATGGTGGTGGCAATTCCTGACTCAAGAAAACCATCTGTGAGTCGAGGTGCTCTAATACAAATACCGCTGCCTCCAACGTCCCCATCGGTTGCCTGTTGCCTCACATGCCAATAGGGCCTCTGGGGTATGGAAATCCTTCCTTTGTTCTCTCAACCTCTTCAAGGCCCGAATCTGCATGCATTCAGAGTCAAACAACTGGGTCAGATTTGGGCAAGACACGTGGCTGGGCAATGCTCCTCTCAAGGATCCATTCCCTCTTCTCTTTCAGGTTACGCTCAATTTGGAAGCCTCAATAACTGATCTCTTTACACTCCAAGGCTCTTCTCGCTCTTAAAGCCCCAGCTTCCGCAGGCCCTCAAACGATACTGAAACTGAAGAGTTGCTCCATCTTCTCTCCCACTTAGGTGAGGATCAATTTATCTGGTCCCAATCTCCCTCCGGTCTCTTCACTGTCTCTTCATTCTACAACTCTCTCCATATCCCCCCTCCTCCCCCTCCCTTTCCCCTCTATTGTCTTGAAAGCCTGATTCCCCTTTATTCCCCCCAAAGTTGAGTTTTTCACCCGGATTGCTCTATCAGAGAGGTCAATAATAGTTGACCAGATACAAAGGAGGGGATTCCCCATCCACAACGGATGCATAATGTGTTCTGTAGAGGAAGAAACCAATGGTCACCACTTCCTCCACTGTGAGGTGGCTTTCACTCTCTGAGGAGACAATCTTCACTAATTCCATTGGCAGTGG